TTCTAATATTTGAGGTTATATTGATTATCTTATAATATGAAATTTATATTGAATCTCTTCCAATCACAATCAATCAATCATAATCCCTATTGCACAGAGACCTAGTGTGTGAAAATCAAGCACCGAAATACAAAATTCACACAGTAACAAATAATCTAATCGTCGAAATAACAAGCAACCATGATACTTGCTGAAACAAAACAGTACAACACACCAAAAAAAGACAAAAAAAACAACTATACATGAACATGCATCCAACACACAAAGCACCGAACAATAAGTCTAACATAGCAAAGCACAAAGGTAACACCCAACACCCAACAATGACATAGCGCCACTGCTATTCTGAATACACACACTTAAGTTGTGTCATAAGTAGACAGCAGCCAATCACAGCCATCGAATCCCAACCGGCGCGGCGATATGCCTCAGCCACCGACTACAAACCGCCACAAAGGTCAATTCCCACGGTAAGAACATGCCAAGGACGACAACGAGCATGCAGTAAAAGACAGAGGTACGATAAAATGCTCAACATATTCCAGTGGATGGAAGACCCAAAAAAACCTCTTCATAGAAGAAACCACAGAAATACACTGAAAACCCAGGACAAAAACACAGTATTATTGAAAACAGAGACTACAAATCCGATTTTGTAGTCTTTTTGTAGTCTCCAATACAAGCGGACCTTAAAGCCGACATTAAACAGCGTAGTTAAGACTACAACCGAAAAGTCGCACGCATTCTCGGCATCGCGATTCCGACGGGGTACAACGTTCGGCACGCACCCAATTTTGCGGGTAAGGACTCATCCTTCGTAAACTCAGGACTTGTAACAATTGTGGGTCAGTCAGGATGAGCATTGGCCAGCAACGTCACGCATGGGTGACAAAGGCACGTGGATTAACGCGCCTGTGACGCTGTCTCAGATGGATGCCAAATATAGCACAAAGCCTTTATGTCTAGCACCGACAACACGACAACAGACGAGGGCCCTACCTTCGACGACGGCCATAGCGTTGGACGCACAAGATGAATTTAAACAGATGGAGGATACGGAGGGACGCCTTCGTACGTACGCTCCTAGAAAGTTACTGATGGACGGAGGATTCTGACGAGATGCACGCTGCAACCGCTCCTACCCCTCCGCGCGCCCGCCTCGGCCTGCGTTCCACCATCGTCGGGCTAATCAAACGCGGCGCAAAATCTGTTTCTGCACTCGCTCATGCTCACCGTCTCAATTCCTTCGTCCAGTTCGGCACCGTCAAGGAATCCCATTCAAACCATCGTATCCTGGCTGGCACTGAGGCTACCGAGCACCTCTATGGACCGGTCGAGGTCTACGAGTTTCTGGACGACTCGTTTCCGGAATTCGACGTCTCGGTTCGTTCGACGGTCTTCAAAGAATTCAAGAAACGCTTGCGGGAAGTGAAACCAAGTGTGAAGCCTTCTGGAGGACCATCGGAGAAGGCCATGTACGCGAGTATTGTGAATATCTCATGCTATTCTACACCTTCTGTAATTATACTGATATTTCCAAGGTTGATGCTCTCAACTACATATGTGAGAACGCCGTCAAGAACGAGCCTCTCCCCCTCCAGTTCCACGTCTCCGCCAACGAACGCAAGCAAGAATCCAAAGGCGGGTACCGAATCGCGCCGGACATCGCCATCCTCCCTTCCTCCTCAACGGACACTTACTGGGCGCGCTCGCTCGGCTTCATCGAAGTTAAAGCGACCGAGAACGAAGACCCCTTCCGGCGGTACAGGCCCGACCTCAAAAATACCCCCACGATGAACCAGACCGAGGTCGACTCCTGGAACCAGCTGCAGGAGTACGCCGTCGTGTCCTTCCGCGCCGCGCCGCGGTGCTTCCTCTTCGCAGTGGGCGTCTTCGGCAACATCGCACGCCTCTTCCGCTGGGACCGCTCCAGCATGCTCGTCTCCGGGCCCATCCGGTACAAGACGGACCCGACGCCGCTGATCGAGTTCCTCGTGGGGTTTGCGAGCCACGCGCGTAGCGGGATCGACGAGAGCGTGCGCATGCCCATCACCGGGCCCGCTGAGCGCAAGCTGGTGAAGGAGAAGTACCAGGAGGCGTTCACCTCCCGGCTGCTGCCCAAGTACGAGCCGCTGCACAAGGGATACAACGACCTGGTCGTGGACAGCACGTTCATCGATATACCCCGCCCGGAGCCTACTGAAGGCGTCGCGGACCGCTTCGTCACCATCGGCCCCCCGCTCTTCTGCGCCAACTCGATTTTCGGGCGCGGCACGCGCGTCTGGCTCGCATGGAAGCTTTGTGGCGATGGGGAGGAGGCGGGTTTCGTCGTGGTCAAGGACTACTGGCGCGATCGCGAGCGCTGGACTGAGGGGAATATCTACCGTGCGATATACGGCGCGTCGGGGCGCGCGTTCGGCGTCGCGCGGCTCTACCACGACTACGACGTCGCGGCTGACCCGCGGGACCAGGTACACGTCGCCTCGGGCTGGATGGTCAATGAGAAGCTGGGCGAGGCCGTGTTTAAGGATCTTGTGCATCATAGGTGTGTCTTATTGTCGGTGGGTATACCACTCTGGCGGTTCAAGTCAACGCGCCAGCTGGTGCACGCGATACGGGACGCCCTGGAAGGTTAGTACGGTGATGTCCCGAGGTATGCCTGGGTCAGCTGATATTTGCTGTTTGTAGGGCATCTGAACATGTGCAAGAACGGTGTACTGCATCGCGATATCAGTGTAAATAACATCTTGATCAGTGCCGATCCCGGCGCAGAGAACGAGGCCGTGGGGTTTCTCATTGACCCTGAGCTGGCCTTCGCCGACGGGATGAAAGATAAGGATGGAGAATTGCATAACTTGACGGTCTGTCGTGATTTGTATCCCCTCGACCTCAGCTCACGTACTCCATATAGGGGACTTACCAATTCACGGCCGTTGATCGGTTTGAAAATACCGACGTGGACCACGAGAGTTGGCACGACATCGAGTCGTTCTTTTGGGTCCTGGTATATGTCGTCCTCAGACACACACTGTGCCAAATGGTCCTCAGCGGTGCAACATATAAAGGATATCAATGCGTACCGGGGATATTCACAGATGTCCCAGGAGACAGGCAGTTATTTGCGACAGCGAAGGTCCAAACACTAGAGGTGGAGAGGAATGCGCCTCTGACCCGATGCATACAGAAGTTTGCCTCTCTCGTCGCTAGTCATTACCGTGCTCCTGACGTTCGAGAGAGGTATGCAGCCGACGAGCTCAACCTCCTGACACATGACAGGGTTCTAGCTCTGTTCGACGAGGCTCTGAACGCTGACGGGTGGCCTGCAGAGGAGGAGGACGGACCAGTGCCTTTTACCATACTGGAGACCCATACGGTTCGATCCAAACGTTCCATCGCCGAGAACATACGCAATGCGGTTGCCGAGAACTCGAAGCAAAGAAAGCAAAATTCGACCGCCAGCAAGCGCACGCTTGTGAATGCATTCGGCCTTCGCGAGCGCCACCCTCCGCGGCGTTCCAAACGGATCCACATCGAGGATGCCAAAGATCCAGAACCTGCACCCGCCGACGTCAAAGGCAAAGGACGCGCTCCGGAGTCGGCGGATGAGGACGAGATCAAGCCAAGTAAACGGCGCACCCGCGCCGGCCTCAGCAGGGTAAAGTCCGAGCCCAAAGCCAAGAATGCTGGAAAGGCGGCCAGTACAAGGATTACGCGCAGCAAAGCGAGCTCCAAGTGTCGTAAAGCTGCTGCTAGCACGGGCGATCATAGGACGCGGTCGGGGAGGAGGTATTGATTTATTGATTTCCTTGGACATGCGACTGTTTATTTTCGTCTGCTTTGCTCTGTAGTGCTGGTCTCTTTCTGTTTCTCTGGGCTGGCTATTCCTGGTAATGCTGAGGCATCCATTTCACTGTGGAATACTGTTTTTCACAATATTTTTTTTGTAACTTATTCATGTGTATTTTATTCCACCATCCGACGCCTTTCCTATTCTCACATCATGGCATAGCGGCGAATGTCCACAAGGACGAACAACTGGTAAGAAGGCAATCGGAGCACGGGATATTTAAGGAAGTTGAATGGAACCAATACTGTACATGCCTGCCAGCCCTTAGCCCACCATCCATATCGCTCGCTTAGCATCACTTCCCGAATGAGGAAGAAAGAGCAGGGCCCTCGCTGACCAATGATGCCACAAAATCAGAACCATATCACGTGCACCGACGCGTCCTGTTTAAATTCAGACTCCACGAGCCACAGCGAGTTCGACTTACACTTTGACCACACCCCCTTCCACTGAGTTGCGCGCAACAGTCTTCCGCCTCCCCCACTCTTTTCAACCACAAGTCCCCAGCTCTCCCGACATTCGAGCCACTTCATGCCCCCGCCACTATCCAACAAGACCAACAGAGGCTATGTGCCTTTACCCGTTTGTCCCGCCTCCAGCAAATTTCGACCTCCATCGGACAGGCATAAGGAGAACGACGGGAAGGGCTGTCATGCCTCGCGCGTTTCTGAAGACGATTCCGACGCACCCGAGCCATTCTTCGCTCCCCAGGGCGAGAGCATCAAGTATTTCGCGAAAAAGCGTCCTGCCCCGCTCCTGAGGGAGCTGCCGTCCTTCAAGAAGCTAGATTTTCATACCGA